TGTAATATTATATTAATGTAGTATTTTGTGTAATATTATGTTAGTGTATTATTTTGTGTTATGTTAGTGTATTATTTTGTGTAATATTATGTTAGTGTATTATTTTGTGTTATATTATGTTAATGTATTATTTTGTGTAATATTATATTAATCTATAATTTTTTGTAACGAATTTGCACTAATACTTCTCTTTCTCCATTATTTTCAGTTTAAATTTTAAAAAACTTTAAAATAAGTTAAAATATGTAATACTATTACACATGTTATAATAAAAGTATTCTGAACCTTCACTTTCAGGGTTTGTTAGTTTGTGAAGTAGCTGTATACAGATCTTAAAGTTAAGGCTTCAGGATCTAATATTTCATATCACGCCGATCTTACTTGAAACCTCTAGGATGCGACAAGCAGTGAGCTGCTGTGACAATAACGCTGTCACTGATCAGAGCGCCTCCACACCAAAATTGTTTTCCCCGTCTCGTCTGTAAAAATATCGCTGCCTGTGGAATAAAAACGAAAACTATTAAACTAAACAGCTAAGATTCTCCGCAAGTAAAAACTTATCATCTAATATTTTTTTAGTTTCCACAACATTTATCAACGTGTTTTTTATGATGATTAATTATCAATATTTTTTCCTTTATAACCTCTTATATCAATTATTACCATAAATAAATATATTAAAGTTGGATTTAAGCTGATAACGTCAACATTTCCACCATTAATTAAATGTAAGCCCCAAATATTTTAAAGGACTTATTGTACTAAGATGATAAAGAAGAGAAACGAAATATAGTCAGAGATTTTTTGTTGTTACCGATTGAACAAATATAATATTTTACAGTTTAATCGAAGATGAAAAAGGGTTAAGATTAACTTATTTAAATAAACAGAGGACCAAAATAAAATTCCTTTATGGTTACAATATTAAATATCTATTTAGCTAGAATATACGCTAAGGCAGGGGCGTAGCCAGCACTACAGAGTGGGGGTTTTTCCCCCAAAAAATGTGGACCTTTTTTTTTCTTCACAAAAAAATAAATAAATCTATGATTTACAGAACAGTTTTTTTTAATCAGAAGATAGTGGACCTTTTAGACTTTTTAGAATATTGGGGTAGTGGTTCAAGACCCCACCACTCCCCTGTATTCAAGCCACATCAGAAAACTTAACCAAGATATATTTCAGTAATTTCTTAAAATAACTCGTCTAATTTCTTCAAGTTTATGTATTAAAAATCAGTATTTGATCAGTGAAATAGTTAAAAGTTCATACCATCCATGGCCACTGTCCCGGATTAGCTTCGTAGCCTCCAACAATTCTTGAACTTCGACTTTCCAACCCACATACTGCTGTGAACAGAAAGTATTTAAAGGTGAAGTCATTTTTAAAACTTTGGTGTCTAAAGAATTGATAAGCTGTGTAGGTTTTTGGTATCGAAACCCGATTTTTAGTGTCGTAAGCCCGCAGACTTACCGCTGAGCCACAGGGAGGTCTTGATTATAGAGTTAACGATCTTGTGTCTTCATTATATGTTCTTCACTGGTCGTCTGTGTTGATTTTCATAATAATAAGTTTAACCCTCACATAACCGACTTATTTTTACACCGCTCCCTGCCGGTGGAGTAACTTGAAATTATTATTTGGTACAACACTCGGTGTGAAGAAGTAACCAGAACCAAAAGTGGATCCCAATAGCACGAACTAGGATTAATTGTAATATTTTTAACTTTGTTTTTTCGCCAAATTTTATTAAGTATCACATAACCAATTAAAATTATTGATCCAAAAATCGCTTTAGTATGTTTTAATAAACTTAAAAATCCAATTACAGTCCATATTAACGCCATTAGTAATTCTAGGGTGAAACTCAATAAGATTGTGCCATCGTATTATTGTACTATTGGGGACCACTATTGTACTATTGGGGACTACTATTGTACTATTGGGGACTACTATTGTACTATTGGGGACCACTATTGTACTATTGGGGACTACTATTGTACTATTGGGGACTACTATTGTACTATTGGGGACCACTATTGTACTATTGGGGACCACTATTGTACTATTGGGGACTACTATTGTACTATTGGGGGCTACTATTGTACTATTGGGAGCTACTATTGTTTGTTTGTTGTTGTTTGGGGGGGGGGTTGTAGAGCAAAGCTATATTCAATAAGTCTGCTCAGAACCACAGGATATAGTGCCGAGACTTACCAGCAACGACAAACGTGTATGAATTAACACTTCTTGCGGTTACAATCAGCAGCCCCCTGGTGGCTCAACTTGATATATTGTCTGTTTGTTGTTAAGCTTAAAGCTACACAATGGGCTGACTGTTCTGTGAGCATCACGAGTATCGATGGGCTGTGGGCGGTTCAGCTTGAAGGCGTATAACACTATAAATCGGGATTCGATATCCGCGACGGGCACAGATCAGATAGCCTAATCTGCAATCACCAAGAATGATAGGTTATATATTAGTAACTACAAAACTGTGGGAGTTTATTTAAGTCCATTGTACGACTGATTTACGTTTATAATGAGGTAAATGTCTACGCTATATAGAACATCATAGAAAGGTATGTTTTAGAATAATAAACATTAAAGGCAAAATGTTATGTATTCATACGTCACACTTTTTAAACAAATTTTCATTTATCGTATCATAGTAACAGTTGCCTCACTTTGACTAGATCCCTAAACGATGTTTATCGTATCATAGTAACAGTTGCCTCACTTTGACTAGATCCCTAAACGATGTTTATCATATCATAGTAACAGTTGCCTCACTTTGACTAGATCCCTAATAGATGTTTATCGTATCATAGTAACAGTTGCCTCACTTTGACTAGATCCTTAAAGGATGTTTATCGTATCATAGTAACAGTTGCCTCACTTTGACTAGATCCCTAAACGACGTTTATCGTATCATAGTAACAGTTGCCTCACTTTGACTAGATCCCTAAAGGGCATTTATCGTATCATAGTAACAGTTGAGGCAACTGTTACTATGATACGATAAACATTCTTTAGGGATCTAGTCAAAGTGAGGCGGGATCTAGTCAAAGTACATACAAATATATATGAAGCCTAATTTTCCCAATTATACATACAAATATATATGAAGCCTAGTTTCCCAATTATACATACAAATATATATGAAGCCTAGTTTTCCCAATTATACATACAAATATATCATAAGGTGGTGAACGAGTTCGTTTTTCAGTTCTTTAAACTAATCGTCTTGTTTAAGAACACAAACAAGTGTCTCGATCACTGGAATTATTGCTTTATTTAATACATACTAGCCGAGGGTACACGTTGAGGAAACAAAAACAGGATAAAGAACAACTTTAGATAATGTTCCCTCTTCCTTCTTTCTTTTGTTATTAAGTCCCTAATGACCTCATTAGATGGTAATTACATACTCAGGTAATAATCAAGATTGTATAAAAAGATAAAAATGTGCCCTACTTTCAGGGTCTTTTCATTCCCCATTTTTTTGGACAAAATATCCTAAAACAAGGTAATCCGTGCACACAGACAGTTTCCAAAAAAAAAATAATAAGGTGATCGAGACAGCCAACTCCTGGAGATGCAAACCAAAATTGTATAAAAAAAGATTAAAAAAATAGCCTTGAACTCTGTCGGACAGTTTCTATTTACCATAAACACTGGAACACACCAACTCTGGATGATGGATGCTAACGTACACGTAATGGACCATCTTCATAGTAAGAAGTCATCTAGAAATTCTGGAAATGTTTATATACACTTGTTTTTTTATGTCTAATAATGTATCATTATAGATGAACTCTGAACAAAACTGTTTATCTTTATTTGTTGTACGTTCGTGCTGATTGGCATTTTTAATTACAAAATATTTTATTATTACACCAGGCGTCATCCCTTAACAATGATAGACCTCGGCCAAGTGTCCCATCAACAGTATTGATTACGTCAACAACTACTGCCAAACCCTCAACAACTACCACCACGACTCCAAGGCCCACAACAACTACAACAACAACAAGAAGGCCTCTCTTGATCACAACAGAGAAACACCCCTTTCTCTTGACAATACAACCTCCCAGTCCAGTGAAACCCGTTCTTGAGGGATCTAGTCAAAGTGAGGCAGTTGTTACTATGATACGATAAACATCTTTAGGGATCTAGTCAAAGTGAGGCAAATGTTACTATGATACGATAAACATCGTTTAGGGATCTAGTCAAAGTGTGGCAACTGTTACTATGATACGATAAATGCCCTTGAATAATTGGGAAAACTAGGCTTCATATATATTTGTATGCATAATTGGGAAAACTAGGCTTCATATATATTTGTATGCATAATTGGGAAAACTAGGCTTCATATATATTTGTATGTATAATTGGAAAAACTAGGCTTCATATATATTTGTATGTATAATTGGAAAAACTAGGCTTTATATGAATCATTTGTCTATTTAAGTAATATATTCCAAGCACAAATAATTATAAAATAATGTTTGCTTGTGTTTTTTTAGATAATAAATTTGAAATATAAAGAATTAAAGTTAGTAGTTTATCTCTTCAGCATGCATAATTGAAAAAAAATTAATTAAAACTAAATTTATCTCTTTGGATATGATATCCAAATAAATAAATAAATACTTTTTTGCTCTTTCGGTGAATCGTATTAAGAGAAAAAATCGTAAGTCTTCTCTGGATGATGGTGAAGGGTAACAACAATGAATTTAAATAACTTACAGGGCAACAAATCCCAGGTATGACGTAGAAGCGGAAGCATATGGATTGTCGGAGTGTGTTCAAGTCGAATATTAGATAAGAACAGTTGGCTATGTTTCCACACACACCGCTATGACCGTCAGGTGTTTTACAGCTGTTGATGTTCGAGATGCTTGACTGAAGGAGACTGCCAACGTTGCCAAGGACTACTGAAAGTAGTGACGTCACGTTAAGACTTGTCTTTTAGATATCGTAATGTTCGCTAGCTGTAGTCATTTATTTTTGTTGAAATACTCTTTGTATCTCTTGTTTCTATGACAACACGGTCAGGATAACTGTGGAATCATGCTTTACCAACGTTTGAAAATAACTAATATTAATTACTGACTAAATACCGTGTATAATGTAAAATATTAACTACTGACTAAATACCGTGTATAATATAAAATATTAACTACTGACTAAATACCGTGTATAATGTAAAATATTAACTACTGACTAAATACTGCGTATAATATAAAATATTAACTACTGACTAAATACTGCGTATAATATAAAATATTAACTACTGACCAAATACCGTGTATAATGTAAAATATTAATTACTGGTTATTATAACTTTTACAACATATAG